TGCTGCCTTTTCAGGAATTTCCTTCCAGAACTTGACCCTTCCAATTCCTAATAAAACCTATTTTTCATCTTTCCAAAAATAAAAAATATTTACCAACAGGGTTTAGTTTTATGATACTGCATGTCCCTGGCTGATGCTGCTATGTGGTGAAGCCAAAGAAAAACCTCTGTTGGCAAGGAACAGAGAGCAGGAGAAAAGAAGCAAAAAGGAGGAAAAAAAAAAATCCTTGATGTTTGGGACTTGCATATTAGCATTACAAACAAGTCCACAGAGCATAGCATCCACACAGAGGAGTGTGTATCAGCTGAATCCCCTAGGCTCTGAGCTGCTAGAAAGTGTCTCCAAACTCAGTCCCTAATATATTAACTTTGACGCTAGAGCTGGGAATCAGGTTGAAGGTTGGGTAAGGCAGGGGTAGAGTGGAGAGATACTGCATCCTTTCAACACCTATTTTTTCTGACAAGAAAAGACTTCCATCAAGGGAGAAGAAAATATAGCCCAACCTGAAATGTCAGCCCTCAGAAAGAGAACTAGGCAGTTTACATCAGGAAAATCTTTTCACTGATGAACTAACTTAAAGGACAACCTGATGCCTGTTGTATGTTCTTTCTTTTTGGAAACTATCTTTAGAGCTGAAGAAGGATGATCCTTTGGTAAAAAGAAGAATGTGAAATATTGAAGAAACATGCCCTACATATCAGATACTCTACTGGATGGCTGCAAATATTTCTTTTGTCCTCATGTCTCTTCCTTGTTGTGTTATCTGCAAACCAGAAATGAGGAGAATATGGGTTTGGAAAGGTGATAATTGCTTTTTCTTGTCCGAAGTCACACATCCAGTGTAAGAGAAAGTACAAGTGCATCATAATAGTCCCTGTATTTGCTTTGTAATGGATATGGCAGTGGTGCATGGTGAACTACCCAGTAGACCCTCTCCCACGATATTACTCCTTTGCCCTGTTTGGGGATGTGTTGGGTCCTAAAGGCCCTAGTGATTCTCTTTCTAGGAATTGGCCCAGTGGAAGAGAGTAGCCTCACCCAAAGCAGTTTCCCTTCCTGGAGCAACCTGCAACGAAGACTGGTAGTTGGGAAGATAGAAAGAACTGTTTCCTTGCATCCACTGCAGGAACAGTCTGGAACTCTCCAAGGGGCATTCAAGGCCTTGGTGTGCATGCAACCCAATCTGTAAATCTGCCTGCTCGTAGATGTTGTTCTCAACATATTCCCCAGCACACACACACACACACACACACACACACGCACACCCCTCTATTTCAGAGTCTTCTTCTCTGAAAATTTGACTATGACAACATTCAGGGTCTAGAATGTCATTAAAAATAATCCAACAATCTAAATGGCAGGTCACAAAAGCCAACAGAAAATAAAAGCAACCTTCTCCATAACTTCAGTACAGTAGCTTTAGTATTCTATATAGGGATACTGAGAAGTGAAACTCTTATTCCTGAAAAAATTTCATATATTTTATTTGTCCTTAGTTTTAGAACAAATATGAATGCTGAGACTCCTTCCATCATTCCACCCCAGACTACCTCCATAATACAGCTTAAAAAATAATTGAGGCTTAGAGAACAGGAACTGGCTTGGCCAGGTCATACTGCTATTTCACAGATTAGTACCCAGTGCTGAGTCTGATAGATCACTATAAAACACAACTAAGTTCATGACCAAATGTTTTATTTTGGGCTGGGGAGATAGCTCAGTAGAATAAGCACTTGTCTGGGAAGTGCAGGGTCCTGAGTTCAATCCCCAGTACCAAAAAAAAATTAATTTTATTTCACCAAATGCATTTATAGTGTTTGTTATATGTAATAAAGTACTGAAGTCAGCAATGCTAGGTCTCCTCATTCCAATGATAGAGCTAGTGATGCATCGCTGCTACCATTAAAAATATAATAAAGGAATTCAAAATGATGGATGCAAATGATTTATCCTCCACTTTAACTGGCTCATTTTTTATTCTGCTTATGCTATCCAAGTAATATCTTTTGCCTTTTGTTTAGGCACTGGGAATCGAACTCAGGACCTTATGCTTGCCAGGCAAGTACTGGCCACTGAGCTATATTCTTGGCCCCTCCAAGTAATATCTTTTATACATTCACTTGAAACTGAGACAATTCCCATAGCTTTCTTTTACCCTCCATTACGCATTTTATTCCCATGCATGAGCGCACACAGCTCTCCAGAGGCTGGTCCAGGTTATGAGAGCTGACCTGAAGCAAGAGTGTCCCCTTTTAAAACTTTTTTTTAAAAAGACATGTATTAGTACATTTGCATAATACATTACATGCAAAGTGGAGAACGGGTACATGTATGTAGTTCATGTATTTTTGGTTTTTTTTTTTCTGGAACCAGGGATTGAACTTAGACCCTTGCGATTGCCAGGGAAGCGCTTATTCCACTGAGTCATCTCCCTGGCCCCTGAAGCTCCTGTTAATTCTTTTTATTTCCTCCCCACCTCCTCTGTCTTCACCCCTCCCCCTCCATCTCTAGGTCCCCTTCTCATTTGCAAAAGATCTATCTTTTTGTTTACTATCATCCAGCTTGTATTTTGCCCTTTACATTATTTATACTTGGGGCTTCTCATATAAGAGAAACCATACAACACTTAAGCTTGTGGGGCTGGGGAGATGGCTCAGTAGAATAAGTGCTTCCCTGGCAAGAGCAAGGGCTGCAGTTCAATTCACAGTTCTGCAAAAAAAAAAAAATAAATAAAAATAAATAAAAAATTAAAAATTAAAAAAAAACACTTAAGCTTGTGTGTCTGCTTCCTTTCACTGAGCATTATTATCTCCAGGTGCATTTATTTTCCTGCCAGTGATACAGATTCATCCTGTTTATGGCAGAGTAATACTCCATTGTGTATAAAACCACATTTTCTTTATCTATTCTTCTGCTGATGAGCATATAGGTTATTTCCAAGAGTTAGCTCACCAAGCTTTAAGCAACACATTTTTCTTCTTTGTCATCTTTTTTTTATTTTTTAATGTCCCCAAATTATATGACCTATTATTTATATTCCTTGTTGAGGATTGTGGCACATGCCCATGAAGCCAGCACTTGGGGGGCTGAACCTGGAGGACCACCATGAAGTCAAGGGCAGTCCATGCTACATAGCGAGACCCTGACTCCAAAACAATCAGCTTTATAGAACTCCAGAGCTGCTTTTCTCTTCCCTTAGCTTAGTTAACAAGTTTTTCAGAAAAAAACTGAAAGAAGATTCAGTTGGGAAGGAAAACCTTCCAGTGCACAATGCTGGTGTCCCGCCACCCCTTGCTGCATGCCTAACCCTATTCTCCATCATGAGCAAAGGACCGTGGCCTTTTGTTGCACAGGATGGATTAGCATTGCTGAGTCGCTTGGCAGGAGGAAGGACTTTCCAAGCTCTCACATGCTGACGTGTTGAGAGTACATGGTTGTATAACACCATATTTTTTAATACAACTGACAGTCTGTCTTGGGAGTTAAGTGTTTTTTGACAGTTTTTATGCACCTGTTAATTCAAAGCTCTTAACATATGCCAGTTAAAAAGAGTCAGGCACTAAAACATGTACTTTAGGGGCTAAATATGGCTCAGCTGCAATCTCAGGCCCGCAGGCAGGCTGGAGGCCGGCTGGCTGACGGAAACAGTACCTTCCTCCAAGATGGAAATCAGCTGTAGCCTCCGCTGTGGGACCTGAACAAACCATTTCTAGGTGGGGTGCTTGGGACTATCATTTGATTTCTCAAAAATCAGATATCAGGGCCAACTCAGGTCTTCAGGATGGTCGATCTTCTAGATAGTGTTTTGTTGTGTTCAGATGGAGAGAATCCAGGATTTGGAAAGACACGTTCGTCATGGTTGTTCTGGGTGGTGCTGGCATGGCCTGCGACCTGGAGTCTGTCTAGCACAGCTCCCTTTCTGCCCCTGTTCCACATCTCTCTTCTACACTTACCCAGCCACCCTAAGCTAAACTGAGGGGAAAGACCTGAATTTTTCCAATACTGTCTTGATAGTTTTGAAGGGATAAGCCTATGCTCTCACCTACAATACAAACAGAAGTATTTATAGTGTAAATAAACAAATAATTCTCATGAATTTTAAAAATAATGATTAAGGACTATTCACTTCAGCACTAACCATATGCCAAAAGATAAGTGATTGCTTCATGCATACAAAGTACGTTAAGCTCAAAGAACTAAACCAGGATAGAATGAAAGGTAAATAAATAATTTCCTTTGTTTCCAAATACTACAGGGAGCAAGGGGTAGAATTGATACATTTCACTTTCAAGGTTCCAGGTCAGTATTGCATATTAGAAATATAACACAAGCTGCAGATGAAAGCCCCATATGTAATTCAAAAATTTCTAGTAGACACATTTGAAAGAGTAAAGACAAACAGGAAAAATAATTTTAATAATTCATTTAACCTGTATCCAAATTATTGTCATTTTAATATAGTATAAATTAATGAGATATTTTATGTTCTTTTTGTTTATCTTTGTACTGTCTCTGAAGTCCAGTGAATGTTGGACACATCTGAATGCAGAAAAACCACATTTAAAGTGCTTTTTTTTTTTTTTTTTTAATGTATTTGGTTGTTACAGGGTCTCATTATGCAACTCAAACCTGTGGTGATCCTCCTGCTTTCAGCCTCCCCAGCGCTGGGATTATAGGCTTGTACCACTAGCCCAGACTGTGGCTGGCTCAGCCCATCATGGGGCTGGGGGTGGGGTCTGTCATGGCATGTGGTGCCAGGGATCGAACCATGGTCCCTGAGCTTGCCTAAGCAGGCACTTTAGTCCACTGAGCTATCTTGCTGGCCACACATTTGAAGCTCTTAACAGCCACACATAGCAAGGTCAGTTTTAAAATGTCAGCCATAAAAATCTTCCAACAAATAAAAAGTAACACTGAATGACCCTCTCAGTAATTGTATCATTTTATTCCATGTTACAACATAGTTTTGTTCCGTACAACTGTTGAATTGTCTCTTCTAGCTTGGCAGTGATGAGCCCCAGGTTCAATGTGAAAAACAGCAGAAAAGGAAAACTCCTGAAACATGGAATGAATTATGTAGAGGGAAAGGTGAATTTTCTGTCATTAGAGATTTAAGCAGCATTTTAATGGGTGTTTACAGTGACATTGTTGTAGATCTTATCTGTGGTCTGGAGTTAGATAGCGTAACATAATGTGCATGGTGCTTATGAGCTTGGGATTTAGCTAACAGACCTGAAACAGATACTTTCTGTATCTTATCTTAAACATCTCTTAATATGGTGTTCATTTTAGGTGTAAAGATATGGAGATTCAGGGAGGTCAAGGGTCACACTGATAGCATGTAGCATAGAGTTCCTCTATCAGTCCAGAGCTGACTTTAAAGCTCCTGTTGTTTCTACTACATTCGAGTGGCCAGCCTTTACTTTCCCTTATCTGGAACTTTAGATCAGTGACAGAAGCTCATAGAAAGAATGTTTTAGCCAGCAGTAGAATGGAAACATTATGATTGCTTGTTTAACTGTGGTTAAAATGCATGTCCCCCAGCTACCACTGTACCTGACACCAGGGAGGGGGCAGTGCTGTGCCCGTAGAGCATCATTGTTCTCCACCACGTTGCATTCATTTGGACTTTGTCTTTTTACCATAGTACTGCAAGTTTGACCGCAATGAGTAGCTCATTTGTGATGCAGACTTCTCTCAAAGTCATTTTTAATGCAGATATTATACAAATGTTCTTGGGGCACAAACGGTGGTTCATCTAGAGGTGGGAGGCATTGACTTGTTTCCAGAGACACATTCCATTGTGTCTGTCCTGCCCTGATCTGGTTAGGGTTGGTGCAGGGAGCAGGAAGCAAATGGAATGGAAGGGAGTGGCACGGAAAGCAGACGCTTGAGTGCTACCCTGTGGAAGGTTGTTACTGACTGTCAGTGTTCTGTTCCTTTGCTATTAGTGCCTTTAGGACTTGTCCAACCCAGCACACAGCAAAAGTCTCTGCATAAGGACCTGTGCTTCACCAAGGCTGGTCTTTTGTAGCTTTATAGGAAGAAGTCCAAATAACAATGTCCATACTGTTATTCTGGCTTTCAGAGCAGTTTAAAATTTCCAGTGCTTTGATAACAAGACAGAGAGAAACAACACAGTCAAATTTCTTTGTATTCCTTAGCTGAAAGGCACTGGGTTGAGTTTAAAACAAGTTACTGTGGCTGGAGGTGCAGCCTAGTGCTAAAGTACTTGCTTAGTTTTCACAAAACCCTGGGTTCTATCCCCAGTACTACAGGAGAAAAAATCCTTTTAAGCCTCAGGTATGGTGGTGGTTCATGCCTATAATCCCAGCACTCTGTAGGGCTGAGGCAGGAGTACAGAAAATTCAAGCCTAGCCTACGAAAATGGTGTTGACAGCAAGTTGGTGAGACCATGTCAAAATAAAACACTATATAGAAAAAAGACTTGAGGGCTGGGGAGATAGCTCAGCAGTCTAAATGCCTGCCTGGCAAGCACAAGGATCCAGGTTCAATTCCCTGTGCTGTATGCCAAGTGCTGACCTCTGAAATTGGGTGTGGTGACACACACCTGTAATCCCACCATTGGGGAGGCTGAGACGGGAGGACCATTAGGAGTCTAAGCTGTATAGTGAGATGCTGTACCAAATAAATAAATAATGTAAAGAACAAACAAACAAAAGGATTGGAGATAAGACTCAGTGCAGAGGTCTTGAGTTTAATTCCCTAACCTCGCCCTCAATACACAGAGAATTTTGTGTTTTCTTCATGTTTTGATCTTTTATTTTAATTAATTAATTAATTAATTTATTTATTTATTTTTTGCAGAACCGGGGATTGAACTCAGGCCCTTGCACTTGCCAGGGAAGCGCTTATTCCACTGAGCCATGTTTTGATCTTTTAGAAGAACCTCTCTCACAGATTTTGTACATGTGTAATTACTTCTCCTGGTTAAAGGTGGTAGTGAAATTAGCATCACAATGGTGAGCTTTCCCTTTGGGTGTCACCAGCCTGTCCAGTTCTTGGGATGGGATTATTCCAGGGTGGTCAGCCTCTGTTTACAAACAAGAAGCTTCAGCAGAATCCATGAGGACTGTATGAAAACTTCCTAACTATGAGTAAGCATTTCAGACACTATTATCACACAGCCTTTAGTGGCTTGGATCTAATAAGCAAAACACTTGCAGACCTGAGCCGGAACTGCTTAGACTGCGCAAAATATGCAGAATCGAAACTGGCCCTCACTGTAGCCTGCCTTCTTTCCAAACAGCTTTCTTTTCTTTTCTTTTCTCTCTCTCTTCCTCTCTCTCCTTCCTTCCTTCCTTCCTTCCTTCCTTCCTTCCTTCCTTCCTTCCTTCCTTCCTTCTTTTTTCTTTCTTTATTTTTGGGTTACAGTATGCTGAAGAAAAATGGTTCCCTCTCGAAAGGTATATGTTAGGAAACTTGCTGAAGAACAGAAGGCCCAGACATTTGTGTTTGGAGGGTTTGTACTTTATTTTGTTGGCGATCCTAGGAAGAGATCTCGTGAGTCAACACAAGGAAACTTTTTTTGTACTGGGAATTGAACCCAGAGCCTTCACATTCAGCTGAGTTCCCAGACCTTTTGAACAATGTACTGTTTTATATTTCATTGTGAGACAGGATCTTGCTAAGTCATCAAGTTCCCAGACTGGGCTCAAACTTACAATCCTCCTGCCTCAGCCTCCCAAAGTGATGGGATCTGTCCTTTCAAAGAACCTTTCCAGCTGGTGAGAGAGCTCATTGGACTAATCACCTGCTTAGGCAAGCACAGGGACAGAAGTTCAATCCCCAGCACCACATGCCATGCTGCTGCCCCCCCCCAAGGTGCTCCATTGAGATTGTGTGTGGTGGCGCACCTCTGTTATCCCCACACTGGGGAGGCTGAAAACGGGAGGATCACTGAGTCCAAGCTGCATAGTGAGACACTACCAAATACATGAAAAGAAAAGAACAACCTTTCCTTCCCACAAATTATATATTGTAATTTGCATGCACCAGTACAAGAAAATGTATTAAAAGTGCAGTGAAGCATGAGAATGTAGCTTAGTGGTAGGGCGCTTGCCTAGCATGAGCAGGACCTACATTCAATATGCGGCAGCAACCACAGCACAAAAAAGATGGGTTAGGGGAGAGAATTTGGAGGTTAGAGAGAAGCCAGGGTGCTCGCTCCACTATTTAAAAGAAGAAGAAGAAAAAAGTCCTCATCTTTTCACTAGAAGTTATAAAATACTTTTCCAGAAATAAAATTTTAAAACTATATACAGATTTCAGACACAAATCTCTGAGACAGATGCCAAGTACTACTCTGAAACCATGTGAATTTTTCTCTCATACATTTGTCAGCCTGACTCCAAGCCATTTTATTCTTGCCTCATTTCTGTCTCTGTTCAGTCTGTTTTTAGTTAGTTGCTTCTTGGCATAGCTTCTGTTGGAGCTGAGAGTGCCTATTCTTTTTTTTTTCTCCCTCTTCCATGCCTTTCATTTTTTTCTTCCCTTTTAAAACTTCTCTTTTGGTGTTTATTCTTCTGAGCTCTGAAGTGACTGCACAAAAATGCCAGGAATAGAGTGAACAGCAGGGAAGCCCAATGGTGCACCTCCACTGGGTCACACAGAGAGGTGGCAAGGAGGTTCCCTGAGGCTCCAGCCCTGGCTCGGGAGCAACTCTGCTGCCCCTGGGGCACACGCCCAGTCTGCATGGAGGACCTCCTTGAGAAGATTCCTTCAACTTGCTCTTAAGAGTTTGTTTAAAAGAATGCTTTATTTTTTAAACCCAGATAATAGTGTTTCCCATATTCATTTATTTATAGTACTGTGTTCTGTTTTGTTGGAACTCTTTTTTAAAGAAAGAGCTGGCCGTGTCACAGTGTTGCAAATTGTGGAAATGTGAGAAACACAGTTGGACCAGTCACCTGGTCATGCATGTACACCTGAAAGGAAGATGGTGGTGTTTTTTTCTAAGTTGAAGCAACGATGTCTTGCACAGATACGGAGCAAGTTTTGAACAGAAGTAAGGCTCACATCCCAATAGTGATGTTCCATTATATCAAAGGGACCAGCCCATCAGGGCACATCTTTGTCCTTTTTGGCTTAGGGACATCACATGGACTGTAGCTGGCGTTGCCTTTTTTCACCAGAGTGTGATCAGACTTCCAAAAGGCCACTTAACATCAGAATATGCTCATGTGTCCCTCAGCTTAGCTTCTAAGGCAGAAGAGGCAGTCAATTCTTCTAACAGTTGGAGAGTTAGTTATTTTTAAATTAGCCTTGTAGTCTAGTGGTACAGTGGAAACTAGATTCTTTCTTCCTATCTTGATCTGTCCTGCCTCACAGGCATTCTGCATTTTTGAAGAATTACACATAAATCAGAATCCCATTCTGTCTTCAGGTAACACTTGAAGGGAAGAGATTTTTTTTTTCTCTAGTTCTGTCAACAGTTCTTTTAAGATAAACAGAAACAGTCATTTTTGATAATGTGCGTGGGACTTAGGAGCAAAATAAAAATCTCCTTTGTGTGTAGAAGTTTTAAAAATATTATGCTAACTTTAGGAACCAGAACGAAAGGAATCGACACGCAAATGCCAAGACTGATGAGACAGAAAATCATCGCGGTATTATAAGAAATGTGAATTGGAATGACCTGGCTTGGATATTTGTAAAAATTATTTGAAATATTTCCTTCTTTCCTTTTGCAGCCTGGATAATGTCACTTGAGTCACTTCACAGCTACTCCTCTAAGAACTTTTGAAACACCTCGTGCCTGCAGTGACAAACGGCAGAGCTGGAGCAGAACGCGTGGCTATGTTCGCATGATGCCTCACACTGGGGTTAAAGCCAGAACCAGTAGGCCAATGGCTTGATTTTTCAGACCCCCAGATCTTTGGCTTTCTGAAAGGAAACAATTGCAATAGTTGGACAGATTGTTCAGCATTCATTCTGACATTTATCACTGTGTAGCTATAGTCAGTGACACAGGAGGTACATGTTCTCCCCACCTGGGAAAGAAAAATGTTATATAATGATGGGTGTTCTAAGAGAAACAGGCTGAAGGCACCAAATGGGTAAATCATGGAGCTGTAAACGGCCGTATGTCTTCATGATTCACATACATGTGACATGTATGTATACACATTTAAACATTCATTAAAAAGTCCAGTAAGACTACAATTTCACCTGTACCTTTAGTTATTTTGTATATTCTTAGAGCCTCACTCATCCATAAGCCAGATAACTCCTATAAGAATAAGACTACGAAAGTATAAGCTTTCTCTTTATGACTC